TGTCTTCGCATTATCTTTCCTCGAGGCTTATGGTTCGGCGGATCAGGCTCAGGAATGGCAAGCGCTGACAGCGTCTGAACGTTCTTCCATTCTTTCCGAATACGAGGCTGCAGGCATTTCGCTCATCGTATCCCTTTTCGGGTCCACTGAGACTCCCACTTCATCGGGATATGACCCTATTGGCACGGCAAACACCATGGCAGCTTGGGTCATCGAATATGGTCTACAGGGCGTAGATATCGACTATGAGGCAAGCTGAATGGCATCAATGATATTTTTTTTTGATGAGAGCTAATTTTTTTGGCAGGATTTCGCCGCATTCAACGCTGGTACTGGCGCTGCTGAGCAGTGGCTTATCAGCTTCACCACCCAGCTCCGCACTCAGCTGCCTCAGGGTCAATACATTTTGACTCACGCTCGTAAGTCACATCTTCAGAGAACATGGTCATTGCCCTGAACTTCTTCGTGCAGCTGTTGCACCTTGGTAAATAGATTGCAGAAATTTATTTCACTCAGATGACTACTAACTGACACAAGGTTCTCTCCCGGAAAGTGGGGTGGTGGAGGATACCTTTATATAGACTCTATGGTCGGCAACATGATTGATTGGTACAATGTGCAGGTACGGCTAACGTATCTCTCGGTTTTCATCCTTTCTGATATTCCGCACTCCAGTTCTACAACCGTATGTCTTATTTTCTTTCGTTCCTTGTGTTTACTAAAATAAGATAAAAAGAGGGCACAACGGAGTACACAACGTGCAATGGCCTCCTGTACACCTCGTCAACTGCTTGGCCACAATCCGCACTCTTCCAGATCGCTGCCAGCGGAGTTTCTCTGAACAAACTCGTGATTGGAAAGCCTGCTACTTCAGCGCAAGCCAGCAATGGATACATGGACACAACCACCTTGGCATCTTGCGTTTCCGAGGCTCACGCTGCTGGATGGAGTGAGTCTGTTCCTTATGGTTAGTAGTTATTTTTGTCTGATCATCACTGGGACTTTCAGACGGCGGTGTCATGGTTTGGGAGGTACGTGAGAGTTCAAATGATCCGCGAGAATTACTGAGCGTCGAAATCAGTATCCTTACGCTGCTGCCTCATGGATCGCCACTGTTCGCGGGGGCACCTGGCCAATATCTGGATCGCCCTCGCCCACCGGCACCACCACAACCACATCGCCGACACCGACACCCACCACCACCACAACAACCGGGACCGGAAACTGCGCTGGTATTGCTGCTTGGACCACTGGTGTCGCCGTGAGTAGATTCCTAATTTTATTCCTCGCGTATGCGACGCTGACCTTATGCAGTACACCGGAGGCGCTGAGGTGACCTACGGGTGCGTACATACTTACTTGCTCTTATCCGTGTATTGACCCATAGCTTAGTGGATCCCTGTGGACCGCGAAGTGGTGGACTGAGAACGACACACCAGGAGGTGAGTTCAAATTCGCATCCTTTCACAGCGGACTTCACAAGTCACAATAACAGGTTCTGCGGGCGTCTGGACTAATGACGGAGCCTGTACTGCTGCTGCTGCTGCCACCCCCGCGGCTAAGTATAGGGCTATCCCAGCTCCTGTCATCACACCCGCGCCGGCTTCTTAAAGGTGTTGGGTCACCTTCTTTGCTCACCTGCGGTAGCGGAAGCTCTGATATGTATTCTTATGTATAGATGATGAAACGAGATATGACGACACACGATGTAATGACTGTACGATATTTGTATTCCGAACAACATTTCTTATGATAATATGCGAGACGACAGGCTCTGGCGGATGGTAGCTGTCACATACAACTGTTCAGTCTGACCAACTTTCCGTTTTAAGCCTCAATAACCGGGGATCATCTGGGCGCACACCCCAACCTAGTATGATGAAAGGTAGCCTGTGGAAATGTCAGTCTGAAACGGACATCGGTAAACGGTACGGCGCACCACCGGAGTCTGTCTGGCCGGAATATATGGAATGCCAGAAGCCAAATCACTACGAGAGAGCAATGGTCAGGCACTTGTGTTTTCCACGAGCAATTGACCGTACTTAGTTCCATGTAAGTGAAGAAGCTGAGTGCTCCTCCGCTAGCTCCCCGCTTGATGAAGCCAATTGCATCGACCCACAGCTTCATGTCTTTGGAAGATGGACGAGCACGGGCATCGAGCAAGAGCGTTAGGAGAATGCGAGTATCTATTAATCCAGTGAGTCAATGAGATACTTGCGACAGACACGTAACCTACATATGCCGATATGGCTAACAGTAGCACATCCGTCAGCATCAACTTGTGAGTAGCATTAAGCACGTACAAATGGCCAACTGTGCCTATAGCATTGAGATACGACGAATTCGTCATTAAAACGGACCAGTCTTCGGTAGAGAAGTTTTGCAGATACAGATTCGGCCTCTGACAACATCCTTGTAAGCAGCATTCGCAATGATGAACAACAAGAACTTGCGTCATAGCCTTCCGGGAACAATTCTCTTGGCAGGAAACTGATATCTGGGCGTTTGTAACCCGTGGCGAGGATGACGACGTCGGCTTTGATATCCTCAACGCGCGGCTCATCCTGCGCTTTTCCCTTTCCCTTATTGTTTTCCTCGGTAGCATGCTCCTCTCGAGCAACTTCACTGACGTCCTGCGAGTCTGGCTTACGCACACCTCCACCAAAGCCAAGGGCAGAACCCTTTTCGACCTGCTCGCGAATCTTGACGCGTACACCGGTCGGTGTCAGCCGTAGTGTGTCGCCGCGTACATACACACATCTCCCGGAACGGACGTGATTGAGAAATTCGTCGTTTACTACCTGCATAAGCAACACGGCATCATGTCAACTGGTCAGCACATGATTTCGGCAACTTACCGGCGTTCCACTGAAGATACTTTTATTGGGCATGAGGTCCTCGACGCCGTGATAGAGCCAGTATTTGAGGATACGTTCCCACAGGAAGCTGTTGACGTAGAATGTTTGGACAGGATGATAGGAAATAGCGACATGATGGTTTGGGAATGTCAAGGGAGCATGACCACGGTAATGTAGCACAGAGATCAACAAGCAAGGAGACGATAACAAAGATAGGTCGCCACAAGGCAAATTCACAGATCAGAGATAGAAGCGCCGAAAATCAGAGAAGGTATGATATTCAAGGAGCGATCGAATGAGCGCCAATTAGCGTGAGCACATGGCAAGCACCAACGCACCTCAAAGGCATTTCGCGCCCGAAAGGTTGGGCAGCGAGGAAAGTGTCGAAAATGATGTTCCTGCACGAATAAACGCCTTTTCGAAATGAAATTGACCGTAGTTTTACCTTGGGATAATCCACTGGAAGGAAAAACATCAATATTATGATCCAACTCCTGGCTCGAATGGAAGACCTCCTGTGCGTCAAACCAACTCGTATTTGATTCACACACTGAAGGTCTCCTGGGTGACAACTTACTTTATCTTCCCTTGCGAGCACCACAGCCTTTTTCGCTCCTCGTTCTAGAGCGGTCTCGACAGCTTCAACAGCGGAAGCCCCACTGCCGATAACCACAACCGTCTTCCCCTCCAGTAATTCTGGAGTGGCATGGTCGAGCTGTGATGAATGGAGTACCGGGCCTTTGTATGGTCCTTCTTCACCAGGTGATCCAGACCGCTTGGCATCTGAAGCGTCACTGTCCTGACCATTATCGTCCTCCCACTCTGCATCTTCCGCTGCAGGCTCTTCCCGGGCTTCACGCGCTCGCCTGGCCTTCTTCCGATGCTTACGGCGCTTCTTGGCTTCGTTGTGGAGTTTTGCCTTTGACACCTCATCTAAGGCGATAATCATAATGGAATGCTTGCAAAGCGCTGGACTCAGGACATACCTTGACGCTTATCTTTCGTGCCACCATCTGCCTCCTGATCCCCAGCCTCGTCTTTGACGCCAACTTTGCCCGCATTGCTCGGCATTCCTTCGAATGGAACCCACATGGGATCTCCACACGTGCCGATTGTGACAATGAGTGCATCAAATGGACCATCTTCCCCGTCATTAATGAGCCATTGAGAGGGCGGCTTTGGAGAAGCTGGAAAGTCACAGTGAACATAGAGCAGGGCTAGGTCTGAGTATAGTTCATACTTTCGGAATCGGGGTCTCCCGACTTGCGTGGTAGGCGCTTGACTTTCGTAACTGGTGTCTAGCAGATCGTGCGCACGTCAGCGACACGACATGGATCAACCGACAAATCACTTACGTTCAGTCTGGTGCGCTCCTTAAGTCGATATTCCTTCCAAATCTTGTCGATCTCTGCCCATAGTCTGTCAGAAGCAATGCTTAATATCTCACACGCCAGGCGCACCTTGAAGAATTTCGTCTCTCTTTGGATACGTTTCTTTCCAAATGACAGCGGGGTGGAAACGATAAAGCAGCGAGTTCAGTTGAAGACCAGAACTTTTATTTTCACGCGACCATATCCCGCCTGGGCGGTCAGTAGCCTCATAAATGACAAGTTCGAAACCATGTGAAATCGCATGCCTAAACCGCATGGTTTCGTTAAGTTGAGTATGACCTGTATGCAAAGATGATATAACTCACGCAGCAGATGATATCCCTGTCAAACCCGCGCCAACGACAGCGATGCGACCATAGGGGTGTTGGATGTGCTCGGGGGGAGGGTTAGGTTTGAAGAAAAATACGATCAGCCTCTGGATTGCTACGTAGACAAAGCGAAAGACGGCATAGAAGGGGGGAAGGATGAGATTCAGGACCCATCTATAGCATTGTGTCGGGTTGCTAATTGGGTCTTGTATATCCTTTGCATGCACGTCGTAGTGGTGGACCTCAACGTAGCGCGTGGCATGCTTCATGCTGTAGCGACGGCGAAGCCCGCTTGTTGTTGAGGACGAGGATACCATGTCACGGTCGGATGACGGTTACAACTTGCATGCTGTTACCTGTTCCCTATGACGCGTAGTGCTCCAACACCTCGAGTCTCGAATAGTTCGGAAAAACGTGAACCAAGCGTGCCAGGTCAAAATAAATGATCTGACCCTGGCTCGAACAGGAGACCTTCTGTGTGTTAGACAGATGCGATAACCAACTACGCCATCAGACCACCACGACGATTTGTGCCTGGACTGCGTCAAAACACCAAACAGTTCCAACTTAGCGCCTGTATCCAAACTTTCACAGATCTTATTTCTGTCATCCACTTGTCTTTCTTTCTGTTCTATAGGACCATCACCACTGCAAGCGCAATGTCCGGCACATATTCCAGTCTCCAGATGACGATGATGGACGAACGCGCCGACTTCTTCACCGTCTTCACGCACTTCGAACTGACAGCAGCACCTATGATGTACTCGGGCTAGTGGAGACATGGAACGTTAGAAGTTCTGGCTCGCCTGTCACATTGGAACGCTACAAGATCCTGCGAGATGGAAAATGACCTCTCCTTCATACAATCATCCAGATCTTGCCGTCTTGCACAAACCTTCGTATACTACACATCATCGACATCCAGATGAGTGATGAGTAGTGATCTACGTTGGAAATACTCCCTCATCCGGAGTGCCTCACTATGGTGATATAGAGATGCTACCTGAGATATATGAAGTTCAAGGTCGTATCGATGGCACCATGATCGATAAAAGGAAGGGCATGCCAGTCTTCTTTAACGGACATACACTTTGGTGTCGGGGACGTCGTATTTGCGCCGGACAGCGAGACGTCTGTGAGTGCATCTTTGACGGCACGTTGTGCGTGTGGCTGAGGGAGACTCGGGAAACAGTCCTGGCCATCGAACTACCCCAGCCGCACGGCAATTTTCTTCGGTGTCATACTTACTCGATGGGAGCAAACCAGCGGCAGGCTATTCGAGCCAATTGGTCTTTTGGAATTTGCAATGCAGCAACCGCGGAGTTGGCAGACTGCATCCACTCCGAGTCCGGATGGTACCCATCTCGTCACTGAATATGGGAATGAAATGCGTATCTTAGATCCTGCCACGGGAGGCATTGTCATAGCATACAGTTCTTTGACCCAACCAGATGCCTATCGGCGAGTCACTCGAGCCCCCTGATCGCGCCATACGCGTGACTCTTCCTGAGGACGGCTAGGTCATCCCAACTATCTGCCAAGACAAACTCGTTCGTATAAGACGAGCTCCTAAGAACGAGGCAGAGGAGAAGGTGGGTCAAGTCTCTAGTCATGCTATGCTTCACGCTGACCCGTCATGCAGTCCGCATTAAAGGTCTCATTCTTCCTCGCATGCACCCGCGCATATATCGACTATTGGCGACCTACAAGATGCCCGTCGCACTGGCCCTGTAAGCTTCTACACTCGTCCTTTTGTGCCGTCCCTAAGTCACTCCCACAGGATATCATTCCATTGGAACAAATAAGATATTCGCAGTACTTCATCGTGATCTCGATACTTGGGGGACAGCATTAGAGTAAAAAAACGATTCCGACGCACGTATAAGAACCCAAGATCCTGCAAAGTAGTGAGAAGGACGTACTGAGATGGCGACTTGGCACGACAGTTAGGCTCCAAATCGAATGTACACGAAACATAATGGCTTCACGGATGTGTTAAGCTGTGCGCCAGTGTAGCGAGTCAGTCTCACTGACAGCAATGTGACTAGCAGGATGCGTACTTCTAACATGAAGATACCCACAGCCAATGCAACCCTCGGGATCGTAGAACCAACTGTAGGGGGAAGGGAAAATGTTAATTTTAACGGTGCACATACATACGATTAGCTGTGATCGTCCTTCAGCTCCGCCACTAACGTCAAGGGTGCGAAGGAGGGCTCTTAGCCGTGAACGCATTATATGAGCCTCTTGATGAACAGTGTCCTACAGTGGGTTGGCAGGGAGGGAAGTCATAGAGGAGCATGGGGAGGGGTGCGTTTGTGGTGGAGGGGTGCGAGGTGCGTGACTGGACCTGAGCGAAGGCGCTGGCAAGGGTGGGAATCGATCTTGTCGGCCACACGATGTATTTATGTTAGAGGAAGTTCTCGAGATGGATGTCCAATTTTTACTTCATGATTTTCAACACCAAAGTTGTACACGTCGACAACTCAATCCCGCTAGGAAAAATATATTAGTTGAACACTCACATTCAGAATTCTATTGTTTCCATCGACTTCAGCGCCACCTGCTTATCTGACAATGTGCGTATTCACCCACTTGCCTTTATACGATTAACGAGACGCTTAACAGTGAGCCGCGAAATTTGTCCTCCTCATACCGTTGCCCTGGCGTTGGCCCTTCCCGAGCGATTCACATAACTATATCTCTTTCCCTACATTTCCATTCAGGATGGGAGACAGTCATCCATCTACTTCTCTCGATAACCTTGCTGTCAGCTTCTATACCAGATTTAAGCAGAGGGGTGTCCTGTCCGACCTGGATAATGCCATTAACCTGGATCGAGCTGCACTTGCAGCCTGTACCCCTGGTCATTCTAATCAATCTGATTTTCTCGATAACCTTGCTAGCCATCTCTATGCCAGGTTTGAGCAGAAAGGTATCCTGTCTGACCTAGATGAGGTCATTGACCTGGATCAAGCTGCACTTGCACTCTGTCCCCCTGGTCATTCCAATCGGCCTGATTCTCTCAACAACCTTGCCATTCATCTCTATGCCAGGTTTCAGCAGAAGGGTGTCCAATCTGACCTGGATGAGGTGCTTGACCTGGATCGAGCTTCACTTGCACTCTGTCCCCCTGGTCATTCCAATCAATCCTTATCTCTCAGCAACCTTGCCACTCATCTCTATGCCAGGTTTGAGCAGAGAGGTGTCCTATCTGACCTGGATGAGGCTATTCAGTTGAACCAAGCTGCACTTGCACTCCGTCCCCCAGGTCATTCTAATCAGTCTGATTCTCTCACCAACCTTGCCATCTATCTCTATGCCAGATTTCAGCACAAGGGTGTCATGTCTGACCTGGATGAGGCCATTGACCTGGATCAAGCTGCACTTGCACTCTGTCCCCCTGGTCATTCATATCGATCAAATTCTCTCATCAACCTTGCAATCCATCTCTATGCCAGGTTTCAGCAAAGGGGTGTCCTGTCTGACCTGGATGATGCCATTAACCTGGATCAAGCTGCACTTGAACTCTGTCCCCCTGGTCATTCTATTAGATCTTATTCTCTTAACAGCCTTGCAAGCCATCTCTACGCCAGGTTTGAACAGAAGGGTGTCCTGCCTGACCTAGATGAGGCTATTGACCTGGATCGAGCTGCACTTGCACTCCGTCCCCCTGGTCATTTCAACCGATCCCCATCTCTTAACAACCTTGCCATTCATCTCTATGCCAGGTTTCAGCAGAGGGGTGTCCTATCAGACCTGGATGAGGCCATTGACCTGGATCGAGCTGCACTTGCACTCCGCCCCCCTGGTCATTCCAATCAATCTGATTCTCTCAATGGCCTTGCCAGCCATCTTTATGCCAGATTCGAGCAGAAAGGTGTCCTGTCTGACCTTGATGAGGCTATTGACCTGGATCGAGCTGCACTTGCACTCCGTCCCCCTGGTCATTCCAATCGACCTGATTCTCTCAATAACCTTGCCCTCAGTCTCTATACCAGGTTTGAGCAGACAGGTATCCTGTCTGACCTGGATGAGGCCATTGACCTGGATCAAGCTGCACTTGCACTCTGTCCACCTGGTCATTCCAATCAGTCCATTGTTCTCAGCAACATTACCCTCCATCTCTATGCTAGGTTTCAGCAGAGGGGTGTGCTGTCTGACTTGGATGAGGCCATTGACCTAGATAGAGTTGCACTTGCACTCTGTTCCCCTGGTCATTCCAATCAATCTAATTCTCTCAACAGCCTTGCAATCTGTCTCTATGCCAGGTTTCAGCAGAGGGGTATCCTATCTGACCTTGATGAGGCCATTGAGCTGGATAAAGCTGCACTTGCACTCCGTCCCCCTGGTCATTCCAATCGATCTGAATCTCTTAACAACCTTGGCATTGGTCTCTATACCAGGTTTCAGCAGAGGGGTATATTGTCTGACCTGGATGAGGCCATTGACCTGGATCATGCTGCACTTGCACCCCTTCACCCTGGTCATTCATATCAATCCATTGCTCTCAATAACCTTGCTGTGAGTCTCCTGGCCAGATTTGAGCAGCATGGTCAATCATCAGACCTGAATGAAGCCTTCAAGCTTTATGCACAACTTTCAGAAGTATCCCATGCAGTCTTGTCCAAAGATCTTCATGCTGCCAAATCATGGACTACTGCAGCTGAGCAGCAGAAGCATAGCTCTGCATTGACTGCTTATCAGACTGCACTGAGATTCCTAGATGATTGGCAGCATGTTACTGGTCTATCATCATCTTCACACCATTTTGATGTGGTTAGTAAAACCACCTCATCTCTTGCAATGGATGCCTTTTCATGCAGTGTTCGTGGTCATGCCTTGACCACTGCTGTGGAGTTGGTGGAGCAAGGTCGTGCAGTATTCTGGACACAGTTGGCACGCTTCAACACCCCACTCAATGAACTTTCCGCATCAGGTAACATGGGCACAGCTTTGGCGACAGAGTTCAAAGAAGTCAGTTTATGCCTTCGTAACATGCTGGAGGTTTCTACTGGAGAAGACCAGACCTCACGAATCCATCAACTGACAACGCAACGGGATGACGTCATCTCACGCATCCGAATGTTGCCTGACTTTTCCCGATTTCTCCTGCCTCCACTTTTCTCCGACCTCCAGAAGGCAGCAGAAGGTGGTCCTGTCATCATTGTTAATGCAAGCCAGTATGGCTGCAACGCCTTGATTATCTTGAGTACTCAAGATCCTGTCCACATCCCACTTGATATCACACGAGTCGAGGTCTCTGAGTTATCCACTGAGTTCCAGACCCTCATCAATGATGCTGGTTCCTGTGACAATCACCTATACGAAATTCAACTTGTCAGCATTTTACGCACACTGTGGGAGCATGTCGTGGGCCCCCTAGTCGAAGCTCTGAGAGAGTTTGCTGCTCCTGGATCACGCATCTGGTGGTGTCCTACTGCCGAATTCACACTACTTCCTCTGCATGCCGCAGGACTATATGCGAAGAAGAGCTATAATTTGTCTCGCTTCTAT